CTCAAAACCACAGGAGGCTGTCAGTACCAACTTTCCTCACAGATCCTTGAGGTAAATGACAGGACAGCTCTGCTCATCTAGGGAACCTTTCCAAAAGGTTCATGTGTTAGCAAGTCTGCTGTATAGGGTGGTTTCTGTTGTTGGTTGTTTTTGTCTAACTTGGAACAAATGACGCAGGCAATGTTTTGGGGGTTTTTTTTACTTTAAAATTGCTATGCTAAAAGGGCCAATAAGCATTGTTTATATGCACAACCAGGAGTGTCCGTAAGCACATTGCCTTGGTAGTGGTTGCATCCTGTCTTGTACAGAGTTGTCTGTTCTTAAACTTCGAGCTGCATGAACTCTCTGAAGTAATACAGGAATTACACATTTATTTTATCCAATTTATTTTAAAATTCTCTTTATTTAAAAAGTAAACACCTGAAACAGATCTGTGGGTTTCAAATATGAATTAACAAAGCATGTGTTAATTCCAAAAACTGATTTGAGTAATTTCTAGCCTGTAGTACCACTACAACTGACTCTTAAGTGGATTCAGTGTGTTTTTGTGATTCATCTTCATTCTTAAGAGAATATACATGTTTTATATTTCCATTAGTAATTTTCTAAAGTCACTAGAGATTCATTTGTAGAATTAGATCATGTCTTTTGAGCTAAAAATCTGTGAAGAACAAAATAGGAAGTGTTACAAGATCTTCTGTATGTTGAACTGAAGTGGTTAGGTTCTTTACATAAGAAGATTTTATAACCTCTGTAGGCTCTTTTGAAGAAAAGAGTTAAATGTTCACTGGTCATTCTGACCACAGTGTTGTTGGGTATAGGAATCAGGTTTTATTTGACTCCTGTACCCACATTCTGACACAATTAGTGCACGATTATAAAATCCAAATGAATGAGAAATGTCTAATAAAGACTGTTTTCTTAGTCATGCAGATGAGTTGCAAAAAAAAAAATCCTCAACCTTCTTGTTTTATGAACTTTCCACTCATTTTCATTATATACTCTTGGGAAAAGTCTTGCTCTGGAGGCTTCCACATAACCAAATTCCTGAGTTCTTCCTCTGCTTCTTTCCTTTCAAGCAGGAAACTATGTATTAGGGTGTAATTGCCTGGTAGGCTATAGCAGGAAAGGCCAAGTGACAGCACGATAGTCAGAATGTACAGTGTGTGCCTGAGGCACTATAAGAATCTCCTGGTATGGTAATAAGGAGGACCCTTCATTGCAAACAAAGCCTCTTCTCCAGTTAACAATACAAAAGGCATTCAGGCTCCTCTTTCCTGGTGGACTTACCAAACTGAGTCTTCTCCGTTGACTATATTGAACTTTGAGTGTCTTCTGAAAGGAAACAGTGGGCCACAGGAGCTGGAGGCCACTCCTGGGTATCTTTTGAGCTTTTGTATTTATTTTGTGCTCTTGTTTTCTGGTTTAATGAAAAGTGAAATAGAAGACAACCTTAAGGAAACTTCTGTTAATTCTCAAACTTAGCCCTCCTTTTGATGCCTGACCTAGTTCAGGCAGACACAAAGAGAAGTCATGGCTGTTACTGTCCATCTTCGCCCAGTTCCTCTCCCAAAGTTATCCTCATGTGTGTGCAGTAGGAGTTCCTCCTCTTAGACCATGTCTTGCCTGCTTACTGAGAAAACAGAGAAGTGAGTCAGTTCTCACCATGGTACCCAAACAGCTCTTGCCCTGATCTTGTTGCAGTTTTGTCAGATATAGGGAGTTTGCTTTTTTTTGGTCCAGGTTCCCCAAAGATGTCATGTATAAGAAGCAAAATAAACCAAACAGCAAACATTACAAAACCAGAACCTATGGTTTTGTAGTCAGCAGTTATGGATTAGAGTACAGTAGAGCCCTGTTGCCCTCTGGAATGTAGCTCCAAGGAGAATGCTATTGAGGAAACACGGCATAAGCTCAGGACATAGTGCTGTCCTGCACATGCTTGATTCATTTTCCCTGTAACACAGGCCACCTTCCACTAGAGACATGCTGCCTTTCAACACGTCTGTTAATTTTCACTTTAGCACTTCAGTTAAGCACGTTTGCTTTGCTCTTTGGGCACCATTTGCTTTTGGGAGGCATGCTTTTACAAAATGAAGGACAGGGGAAATAGCAGATCACACAGTGATTGAAACACAGCTGAGAATAACTCAGCACTGGATGTGGAGCTTCTCCATCGCATGAGTTGTGTACTGGGGCTTGGGAATTTAAAATTTTTGTTTTTGAAATTTCTTTTGACTTTTTAAATTTTATTTTTTTACTGCACTTGGGACAAACTGTAGTAAATCCTCAAAAAGGGTGGACTTACTATCACATTCCATCATCACAACTACCTGTATATGCCTGTTATTTTCTCTGTGTCCACATGGATGTATACACAAGCACAAATGTAAATCTTATGCATACATTAAAGCCATGATAGAGGGTATGTAATAAATAATGTGTATTGTTTGTAACATTTTTAAGGTTGATAATCCTTACCTTTTCTCTCTCACCTAATATCCTGATCAATTTTAACTCTCCCCCCCAATGTCCTTGAAAGCTTGTTTGTGAGTTAGTATCCATGCTGAAATCATGCATCCCATTTAATGATGTCCTTCAAGTTTCAGTTTTTATGAGCATAGACCCTCCCTTTTAGAAGAAATTTTAAAAATTCTGACTTAACCAGTTGTCCTGTAGAATTGCTGCCTTTTAGATTTGTATGGTTGTTTCCTTATGATCTTAAATCGTTCCTTTATCGTCTATATTTCCTAAGTTGGACGTTATACTGAAAGGCTTAGTGGACTCAAATTAGACATCTGGGGCAAGGATGTATGTACCACAGGCAATGTTGTATGTCTCATATTACACCACATTGGAAGACAGCATATGTGGTCAATCCACTGTTACTGATCAGAATGACCCTGGGATTAAGTTGACCACAGTCTACTACCTCCCTTACGTCGTGTTTTCTCCTTCTGAACAGAAGTAATCGATCTGATAGGAATTTAGCACCACTAGCCATTCCCCTAATGGCTTACCCCAGTTGCTAATCCTTACCTGAATTAATATGCTGTTCCTTCTACATGTGCTGACTTGGCTTGCTTTTGTAGAGTACCACTTTCCATCATAATCTGTCTGCTTGAGTGCCAGTTTCTACTGGAATTCAGGATAGACATGGTTCTTTCCGTTTAATTGCTAGTTTCAAAGTATGAAGTTGTTTTATAGCTACTTCAAATAGTAACTAAAGGATTTCTCTGTCTCTTTTTTGTAGTATTGTGAAACACATTGATTGAATGTGTTTCAACCCACTGAAGTGTTTTATTTACTTTGTGCTTAAAGTTGTCACTCTTGGGAGCCCATTCATGCTGTCTTCTCTTACTCATAGTTTTTTTTTTTTTTTTTTAACAGAGAGAGCTTGTGGAGGTACTGGGATTTGAACTCAGGGCCCTCATACTTGCTAGGCTGGTACTCTGTCACTTGAGCCATGCTCTCAGCCCTTTTCTTGCTCTTAAATATTGCTGATTCTATCATTTGTGTCATTATTGGGTCAGCTTCAATTAATTGATTTTGGCCTTTGTGATGAGTCATATTTTCCTGCCTGGTAATTTTTTTACTGGATGCCAGACATTATGATCTTACCTTGTTATATACTGAATATTTTTACACTACATATTTTTTAGCCTTATTGTGGGATACACTTAAGTTACTTTAAAACAATTCAATTCTCTCAGGTCTTATTTTAAAGCTTTTATGAATGGGACCAGAGTAACATTTAGTTTGGGTTTATTTTTGGCCCTTTACTGTATATACCTGATACACTGTGAATTTTGAGGCTTTCTGTTGTGACTGGTGAGAACAGCCCTGTCTCTATGAAGGTGTTTTCTTAATTCTCTCAAATAGTTTTTCCCTGACTTTGAGACAGTCCTTACATGACGAGCTGATCAGATGTTAGCATCAGGCCTTGGGTACCCTCTGTGTGCAGCTCTCTCTTAGATGTGCAGCTCCACTCCTGATCCATGGCCTGGGAAGTCTCTCCAGGCAGTAATTGGGGCAGTTGTAGAGATAATCATGTTTATTTTCTGTATCTCAAGACCACTCTCCTTTATTGCCTGGTACCCAGTGATTTGAAAAAAAAAAAAAAATCATGTATTTTGTCATATTTTTTTAGTTTTAAGTGGGAACATACTGAGTCTTTGTCACTCCATCTTGATTGTCTTCTTTGTGCATTAGTGATTTCCAAATTCACTTTTATTTGTATTTACAAAATAATATACCACCCCTTCTCAAGAGAGCGGTATCTGGAAAAGTATGTAATGCCATATAAATGTTACAGTCCTGGCTTCTTTGCTGGACAGTTATGCAGCTGAGATTTGAGGCCTGGAAATCTAGTGCCAGAGTTGTCCTTGACAACAGTGCTGCAGTCTGGCTGTTGCTTCGCCTCATAGGACGGTGTCACATGTCACAGGACACAGCCTTATAAGCGAGGTGGAACCTCAGGACCACCCACCAGAAGATGTTACTTTTGCCCCGGAGTCCACAAACTGGCTGGGCTACGCTGCTCACAGCTGAACTAGGTACGACTCACTTGTGGCTTTGTGTTAGCTTCAAGGTGACAGTGGCTTTGTTCACATTGGCTGAACTCTCACATGTTAGTGCTAATGCCTTTGAAAGCAAAAGGTTCAAAATCTTAAAATTTTGGAATCTTGGCTGTACATTTTCTCTGAATTTGTTACATTGGCCATAGAACGTGCATGATATTTGTTCCATTCCTTCTGTGCAGCTTGTAATTAATTTAGTGCTCTGGGGATACTTACTGTGTTGTGATAGCAGCCAGCAGACTTCCAAAGATCCAGTGCATTAAGGATAGCCCATTGCTACACACCTGGGGCTTTTTGCATGTAATGTTTGCGAATGAGTGGCATGCTGAACTTTCTGCTGGATTTAGTCCTGCCATGAACTTGCTCTGCTTAGTTAAAAGCTTTCTCATGCCATTCACTGAGTGCCTTTTTTATTTTAAGGTGCATATTTTGGCTCAGATTGGTTGTGTTGAAAGTCTTAACCAGTCACCACCTTCTTCTCCTTCTCCTTCTCCCATAAATAAGGTAAATTTCAAACTTGAATTCATGAGAAAATAAACATTTAACAACCCTTAAAGTAACCTTTTCCAAGTGAGGTGGTTGTTTCAGGTAAAGTACCAGGCCCTTCTGAGGCGTGGTCAGCTAAAGGCAGACTGATGAAGAGTTAAGACCCTGAAGGCTTTTAGCTGAGACTTTCCTGAGAGACTGAAGCACTTGTCCTGTGGGCTATAAGATCTAATGAAGAGTTTTAATTCTGTGGGTGACAGTGAGTCATGCAGAACCTTGTACCAGGATGGAGCAAAATAAGCTGAATATGATGTTGCTCGATGGAAATGACTGAGGAGGGTAAGGGAAAAGTAAAAGCTAGAGAAGAAACCTGCAAGCTTGATTCCATAGCCAGTAAAGCAGAGTGGGTTCCTATGTGACCAGGTGCCCACAGCTGAGAAATAAAAAGGGTCAATGGGGTTGCGAGCAATGAAGTCAGTGATTAAAGGATCCTTAAAACAGACTGTGTAGCCCAGTTTGTTAGGGTAAGGGCTAGATTTGGAAAACACCAAGCTTTTAGCATTTAGCACGCAAAAGGTATTTTTGCCAAAAGCCCCAAGAATTAGAGTTTGCTATTGAGCTTTGTGGTGAAACAGTTCCATCTTCTGCCTCTTTCTTTTATGTATGTGAAGGAAACAAATAGCTAAAACAGATGCTTAATATCTTCTAAGCGCTTAATATCTTCTTTCAGTTTCTCTAGTAATATGACCTGGCATTGAAGCCATTCGGAAATATAACTATCTGGTCTTTTCCTTTGTTGCATAAACTAATAGATGTACTGCTCAGATGGGGATTTACTCAAAGAACTACTGGCCTTTGTTCTCTTTAAATTTTATTTATTCATTTATTTATATATTTTTTGAGACAGGGTCTCCCTGTAGCCCAGACTGGAACTTGCCTATAACTTGCTGTATAGCCCATGCTGGCCTTGAGCTAGCAATCCTCTTTTTTTTTTTTTTTATTGTTTTATTATTCATATGTGCATACAACACTTAGGTCATTTCTCCCCCCTGCCCCCACCCCCTCCCTTACCACCCACTCCGCCCCCTCCCTCTCCCTCCCACCCTCTCAATACCCAGCAGAAACTATTCTGCCCTTATCTCTAATTTTGTTGTACAGAGAGTATAAGCAATAATAGGAAGGAACAAGGGTTTTGCTAGTTGAGATAAGGATAGCTATACAGGGAGTTGACTCACATTGATTTCCTGTGCGTGTGTGTTACCTTCTAGGTTAATTCTTCTTGATCTAACCTTTTCTCTAGTTCCTGGTCCCCTTTTCCTATTGGCCTCAGTTGCTTTTAAGGTATCTGCTTTAGTTTCTCTGCGTTAAGGGCAACAAATGCTAGCTAATTTTTTAGGTGTCTTACCTATCCTCACCCCTCCCTTGTGTGCTCTCGCTTTTATCATGTGCTCAAAGTCCAATCCCCTTGTTGTGTTTGCCCTTGATCTAATGTCCACATATGAGGGAGAACATACGATTTTTGGTCTTTTGGGCAGGCTAACCTCACTCAGAATGATGTTCTCCAATTCCATCCATTTACCAGCGAATGATAACATTTCGTTCTCTTCATGGCTGCATAAAATTCCATTGTGTATAGATACCACATTTTCTTAATCCATTCGTCAGTGGTGGGGCATCTTGGCTGTTTCCATAACTTGGCTATTGTGAATAGTGTCGCAATAAACATGGGTGTGCAGGTGCCTCTGGAGTAACCTGTGTCACAGTCTTTTGGGTATATCCCCAAGAGTGGTATTGCTGGATCAAATGGTAGATTGATGTCTAGCTTTTTAAGTAGCCTCCAAATTTTTTTCCAGAGTGGTTGTACTAGTTTACATTCCCACCAACAGTGTAAGAGGGTTCCTTTTTCCCCATCCTCGCCAACACCTGTTGTTGGTGGTGTTGCTAATGATGGCTATTCTAACAGGGGTGAGGTGGAATCTTAGTGTGGTTTTAATTTGCATTTCCTTTATTGCTAGAGATGGTGAGCGTTTTTTCATGTGTTTTTTGGCCATTTGAATTTCTTCTTTTGAGAAAGTTCTGTTTAGTTCACTTGCCCATTTCTTTATTGGTTCATTAGTTTTGGGAGAATTTAGTTTTTTAAGTTCCCTATATATTCTGGTTATCAGTCCTTTGTCTGATGTGTAGCTGGCAAATATTTTCTCCCACTCTGTGGGTGTTCTCTTCAGTTTAGAGACCATTTCTTTTGATGAACAGAAGCTTTTTAGTTTTATGAGGTCCCATTTATCTATGCTATCTCTTAGTTGCTGTGCTGCTGGGGTTTCGTTGAGAAAGTTCTTACCTATACCTACTAACTCCAGAGTATTTCCTACTCTTTCCTGTATCAACTTTAGAGTTTGTGGTCTGATATAAGATCCTTGATCCATTTTGAGTTAATCTTGGTATAGGGTGATATACATGGATCTAGTTTCAGTTTTTTGCAGACTGCTAACCAGTTTTCCCAGCAGTTTTTGTTGAAGAGGCTGCTATTTCCATCGTATTTTTAGCTCCTTTGTCAAAGACAAGTTGTTATAGTTGTGTGGCTTCATATCTGGGTCCTCTATTCTGTTCCACTGGTCTTCATGTCTGTTTTTGTGCCAGTACCATGCTGTTTTTATTGTTATTGCTTTGTAATAGTTTGAAGTCAGGTATCGTGATACCTCCAGCATTGTTCTTTTGACTGAGTATTGCCTTGGCTATTCGTGGCCTCTTGTGTTTCCATATAAATTTAACGTAGATTTTCAATCTCTTTAATGAATGTCATTGGAATTTTGATGGGAATTGCATTAAACATGTAGATTACTTTTGGGAGTATGACATTTTTACTATGTTGATTCTACCAATCCATGAGCATGGGAGATCTCTCCACTTTCTATAGTCTTCCTCAATCTCTTTCTTCAGAAGTTTATAGTTTTCCTTGTAGAGGTCGTTCACATCCTTTGTTAGGTTTACACCTAGGTATTTGATTTTTTTTGAGGCTATTGTAAATGGAATTGTTTTCATACATTCTTTTTCCGTTTGCTCATTGTTAGTGTATAGAAATGCTAATGATTTTTCTATGTTGATTTTATATCCTGCTACCTTGCTGCAGCTATTGATGATGTCTAGAAGCTTCTGAGTAGAGTTTTTTGGGTCTTTAAGGTATAGGATCATGTCATCTGCAAATAGGGATATTTTGACAGTTTCTTTACCTATTTGTATTCCTTTTATTCTTCTTCTTGCCTAATTGCTCTGGCTAGGAATTCCAGTACTGTGTTGAATAGGAGTGGAGATAGTGGGCATCCTTGTCTAGTTCCTGATTTTAGAGGGAATGGTTTCAGTTTTTCTACATTAAGTATAATGCTGGCTATAGGTTTGTCATATATAGCTTTTATAATGTTGAGGTACTTTCCTTCTATTCCTAGTTTTCTTAGAGCTTTTATCATGAAATGATGTTGGATCTTATCAAAGGCTTTTTCTGCATCTATTGAGATGATCAAGTGGTTTTTGTCTTTGCTTCTGTTAATGTGGTTTATTACGTTTATTGATTTTCATATGTTGAACCACCCCTACATTTCTGGGATGAAGCCTACTTGGTCGTGGTGAATAATCTTTATGATGTGTTGTTGAATTCGGTTTGCCATTATTTTGTTGAGGATTTTTGCATCAATGTTCATTAAGGAGATTGGCCTATAGTTCTCCTTTTTGGAGGTGTCTTTGCCTGGTTTTGGGATAAGTGTAATACTGGCTTCATAAATTGTGTTAGGCAGTTTCCTTCCCTTTCTATTTCATGGAACAGTTTAAGGAGGGTTGGTGTCAGTTCTTCTTTAAAGGTCTGATAGAATTCAGCAGAGAATCCATCAGGTCCTGGACTTTTCTTTTTGGGGAAACTCTTGATTGCTGCTTCAATTTCATTTTGTGTTATAGATCTATTCAGGTGATTAATTTCCTCTTGGTTTAGTTTTGGATGATCATAAACATCTAAAAACTTGCCCATTTCTTGAAGATTTTCCAATTTATTTAAATATAGGTTCTCAAAGTAGTTCCTCATGGTTCCCTGGATTTCTTTGGTGTTTGTTGTTATCTCCCCTTTTGCATTTCTGATTTTACTAATTTGGGTCTTTTTCCTCCTCATTTTATTCAGATTTGCCAGGGGCTTTCAATCTTACTTATTTTTTCAAAGAACTGGCTTTTTGTTTCATGATTCTTTGTATGTTTTTTTTTTTTTTGGTCTCTTTCATTAATTTTGGCCTTATTTTTATTATTTCTCCTCTCCTGCTTGTTTTGGGTTTAGTTTGTTCTTGTTTTTCTAGGAGTTTGAGATGTAGCATTAGGTCGTTTATTTGGGATCTTTCTGTCCTTTTAATATATGCACTCATGGCTATAAACTTTCTTCTTAGGATTGCCTTTTCAGCTTCTTTTTTTTATTGTTTTCTCTGCTCTTTTAAAAGCCCACTGTTCTGCTATTGCCCTCTTGGAGCTCTTATTCTGTTTTGTAGGTTGCCAATTTAGATCTCCATGGAAATTTGTAGTTTTTTTCTTTCTACAGTAACAGTTGTCTTTGACAGAATGCCTGACATCTTAAGTAAGCCTTACTGACTTGCCTATCCTTTTATCCCATTTGAATTTTTTTTTATTGTGCATGTATTACCTTTTCAAGTAAAAGTAAAAATGTACTTAAAAATACAATGGATAGTTATGAAGAGTTAACATGTACAAAACAGTCCTCATCACCAGCAGGTATAATCTCAAAACAACATTGAGTGAAAAAAATAAAAAACTTGTGCAGACACACATACAGTATAGCATTGTATAGGCCAATTTAAAAAATATAAAACAGTTATTACTTGTGGGTGTGTGCACACTCAAGGGAAGTGTAGAAAGGCACGTCGGAGTAAATGCACAACTCAGGACAGTAGGTCCTTCTGGGGAGAAAAAAAGAAAGAGGGCTTTAGCTAAGTCTAATACTTTCTTTGTTTCTGTTTTCAAATTCAAGTTCCTAAGCAAATATAGCAAACTATTAACATCAGTCATGTTTTGGAGAAAAAAGTATTGAGATTTAAGATTACTTTAAATAAATTTCTTTTGATTTTTCTAGCACCTCTGTTCTCAGTTGTATCAGTCCATTTCTAAGTGGACTCACAGTTTCTAGAAGTCACAAATGTTCTTTCTCCACCCTGCCCCCACAGGTCGGTGGTAGCAGTGACCCCTGGTCAGCCTGGAGTGCCCCCAAATCTGGGAACTGGGACAGTTCGGATGGCTGGGGGGCCAGACCAGAGGGGACAGGCACTCAGAGAAACACTGCCAATAACTGGGACACTGCCTTTGGCCACCCTCAGGCCTACCAAGGACCAGGTGAGGAGGGGCTCTTACTGTAAGTGACTGATGGGAAGCTGGGTGAGAGGCAGGAAAACCAAACTGTTTTTGTTGTACAACACGGAACACTTCAATGACCAAACCTCAGGCACCATGTAGTTCTCCAAAAGACATTGGCTAGAGGGGCTTCAATTTCACTCTGTTTGCCTGGAGTCATCTAGGGGCTTCCCACAGTCCCCTCCCTCCTTAGGCTCTATTAATGTGCTACAGCAGTTGGCAAAACTCAGGGAAATACTTGACTTACAGTAGTAAGTCAGTTTATTGCAGCAGGTAAGCCAGAGGATACAGATGAATACCAGGTGAGGAAATGCAGAGGGCCAAGCTCTGGAGATGAGGTAGAGCTTCCATGCTCTCTCCAGCATACCACCCTCCAGCACCTCACTAGGTCAGCATCCCAGAAGCTCTTGAACCCTGCGGTTTAGGGATTTTTATAGCAGCTTCCTCATATTGGCAAGATTGATTTTTAAATTGTTCTTTAGCCCTTCTCTTCCCAGAGGATGGGGTTGGGGTAGAAAATTTTGAGCTGCTAATCAGGACTTGGTTTTTCTGGTAGCCAGCCCCAATCCAAGAGCCCACCATGAGTTGCCTCATTAGAAAAGAAGATGCTCCTGTCACCCAGGAAGTTCCAAGAACTTAAGACTGGACTGCACTAGGAACTAGAGCCAAAGACTGGCCTTTATCCACATCTTTGCGACCCTGGGTCCTATAACCTCAGGTTCAACCAGCCTGAGGTTCAGTCAGCTGTGACTTCAAAATACTCTTAAAAAAAATTGCTTCTGTGTTGGACATTTACAGATTTTCTTTATCATTAATTGTCTAAACAATACAGTATGACAACTATTTACATAACGTTCATTTTCATAGTATTCATATATAGTAATGTAGAGATTATTTAAAGTATACAGGAGGATATAAGTAGGTGATATGCAAATATTGTATATCTTATATGAGGAACTTGAGCATCCAAGGATTTATTTGGGGTTCTGAGGGTGTAGGTACTGAAAGCAGTGCCCTGAGGTTACCAAGAAACACCTGAAGTAGAACAACAGCAACAAAAAACCCAAACCTGACACCCCCATTGCTCAAGAGATTATAAAGAGGGGCTGGTGGAGTGGCTCAAGTGGTAGAGTGCCTGCCTGGCAAACATGAGGCCCTGAGTTCAAGCCCCAGTGCTGCCAAAGAAAAAAAGAAATTATAAGGATTTCAGAAGCACTGTTCTGGTAGCTGGGGCAGAGACCAGTAATGTGTTTATTATATCGCAATATCACACTGTGTCATCTGAGTTAAAATAGAATTTATTCAGAAGAACTGCTCACAGCTGCTTTTGTTCACTAATAGCAAACTCAGATCCAAATGTAGTCGTTTTCTGGATCCATATGTAAACAGCTATGATTTATAATCCCTCAGTCCAGTCTTAGTCAAGTTGTTCTGAGTCAAATGCTTGAAGGGTCAAGTCTGTAAAGAAGAAGGTGGGGCCATGTGTGCTGTGGACAGGTAGGAAACACTTTCTAAGGGGAGCCCCTGCAGGAAGCTGACTCAGTGCTCTCGGCACATATTCAGAGACTGGAATTGTTTGTTTTTGTTGTCTTCTCATTTTAATATCTCAGCAAAGACTGTATTTCTTTAAAAATATTGAGCCAAAATATAAATGGGGGTAGAGTCTGATTCATCACCTCTGCTTGACTTCTGCTTCAACTCTTTTATGTCTTCCTCTAATTACCTGTTTGACTTCTGGGCTATTAGCACAAAAACAGGCAAGAGGAAAATTTATAGAAGAGGAAATAATTCAGGAATTAAGAAAGGGTATCTGTGTCTATTCTGAAATTAAATAATAGAGATAGGCTTTGTTTTGTGTGACCCTATATCCTTTATCCTGCGAATATGTGTGCCCAGAGCTGCATGTCTGTTCTAAAGAGCAAGGAACTTGCACTGACAAACCAGAAAGGAAAGCCAGGTGTGGTGGTACATGCCTGTAATTCCAGTGATTTAGGAAGCTAAGACAGGAGGATCACTTGTGCCCAGGAATTTGAAGCCAGCCTGGGCAACAGAGTGAGACCTCGTCTCTTATTTTTTTTCTTTCATTTATTAGCATATTACAGTTGCACTGGGGCTACATTGTGACCTTTACAAAAGTGCTCACAGTACATCTCAGTTAGTTTCACCCCCTCCATCATTCTCCTTTATCCCTTCTTCCCCCCTTCTTTTTTTCCATTTTTATTGGGATATATTTATTGTACAGGGGGGATTCATTGTGACAATTCCAAATAACTTTACACTGTACATTCGTTAGATCACCTCCACTGTCTACCCAACCCCTTCCCTGCCTCACTTAAAGCAATTGCAAGAGGTTTCATATGTGTATGAAGGCCATAAACCATACACCTTCACCTTCATCTCCATTCACCTTCCCCCTCCCACAAGTGCCCCCTTCACAGTGTACGTATTTCACAGTCCTATCTTTCATTATTAATTCTAAAGTCAATGTTCAAAGAGATCCCAAATCTTAGAAATGAAGAGAAGGGAAAAGGGAAAGAAGACCCAAAAAGACCCTTGTACTGGTTCAGAGCTAGAGATCATGGTCACGGTCAGCAGGACCAGAGTTGTGGGCTGAGCGGAAGTGCTGAGGTGGAACTGCTGATGTCTCGTTCTGTAGTAACTGAGCCACATCTTTCTGATAGTTTCAACTCTTACCTTTTGTTTTTGACATTCATCTGTCACTTCCTCTATAGTGGCACTTTGGGCCATTGGGAGTGGAGAAAGAAGCATAAAACAATGGGAGGAAGAAGAATTAGGAGGAGAACTAATACAAGGTTGTGTGTCAGAATATTAGGCTGTGATGCTGGCCACCTTCTGTCCCCCCATTTTTCTATTTTTTGTTTTCTTCCTTCATACTCCAACGCATCCCTTTCCATCTCTTCTCATTGCCCTTCTCTCATCTTCGTTATTAGTGTTAATTGGTTTTCAGAGATCTTACATCCCTTTTGTCCTCCCTAATCTCCTTAATCAAGAGGTATTTTTTTGCTTATTTGTAAGTTTGTAAAACATTTGTGTTGAGGCCTCTAGAAGGACTTCTCTTGGGTCCCACTCACATTTCTATAATCTGCATTCATCTAAAGCTACTTAGACCAACAGCTTTTTAAAAAAAAAAAAACTTGTCTGCTTTTTAGTTGTACACCATGCTATGATGTATATATACACAGTGATTACTGCAGTCAGCAATTATCACCTCACATGCTCACCTCTGTGTGTGTGTGTGTGTATGTGTGTGCGTGTGTGCGCAATAAGGTGCAATAAGAGCACCTAAAATCTCTCTTGGCAAGTTTTTAGCATCCCAGCATACAATATGTTATTATTAGCAATAACCTGTATACAAAAATTTTCAACTTAATATTTTCAGACCATGGTTGACCACAGGTAACTAAAACTGCAGAAAATGAAATCTTGGATAAGGAAGTCTACTGTATTTGTTTTTGCATTTATTGAATTCTGTGAATTCCTTATTTGTTTTGGATACTAATCCCTTATCTGATACATGGCTCACAAATAATGTTCTAATAATCCATAGACTGTTTTTTTCATTTGTTGATTGTTTCCTTTGCTGTATAGAAGATTGTTTGATATAGTCCCACATGTTATTTTTGCTTTGGTTGCCTGAGCTTTTGGTGTGATACCTAGAAAGCATTGTCAAGGTCATTGTCACCTGGATGTTTCCCCTATATTGTCCACTAGGAGTTTTATGGCTTCAGGTCTTACATTTAGGTCTTTAATCCATTTCGAATTGACTTTTGTGTATGGTGTAAGATAAGGGCCCAATTTCATTCTTCTGTGTGTGTATATCTAGTTTTCCCAGCACCATTTATTGAAGAAACCGTCCTTTCCTCATTTTGTCTTCTTGGGGCCATTGTCAAAAATTAGTTGTTTAGTTTGTTTCTGATTTGTCTTTTGCACTAAAAAGCAGAGTTATAATGTAAATCTTCAAAGTGTCTGACTACAAAGCCTTTACTCTTTCTTAACATCAACATTATACTCTGGACTGTACCCTTTTTCCCATCTTTTAAAAAATTGACTAGGTCAGACAGTAGTTGTTATCAGAAATTTAAGTAATTTCATTTTTATTTTGTTTTCTTGTACTGATAATCTTCCGTTTCCACCTCTAGCAACAGGTGATGACGATGACTGGGATGAAGACTGGGATGAGCCCAAGTCCTCTTCACCTTACTTTAAGGATTCAGAATCGGCTGAAGCAGGAGGTCTCCAACGAGGAAACAGTCGTCCTGGTGCCTCTTCCATGAAGCTGCCACTGAACAAGTCAGTCCAGAGGGAGTAGAGGAAACCAGGATTTGAGTGTAGAAATGTATATAAAATACAAATAGGCAGCTGGCTTTTTCTCTGTCCAGTGATCTACTGAGTTTGGGGTATAGTTTGGCCTTCTAATTTAGATCTTAGCTTGGAAGCTGGTTTTTTTCTTCATTCTTTTTACAAGATTAGTAAATGAGGTATTTATTTAATGCTCTGCCAAATAGTTTTTATTGCTTTATCTTTCATCAACTCCATACCATATGTGGATTAAAGTTTCATTGCTAAAAATACTAATTATTAGGAAACATAAATGTAGATGTGGAAAGTTAAAAATAGTAACATCACTCTTTTAAATGTTTCATCATTTTATTAATCACTTACCATGTCCAGCATTGTACAAAGTGGTTTATTTTCATTCTCAGGTCCCTTTGTGGTGTCTGTGATCCCTGTTTTGCTATGTGAAAGACCAGCTCAGGGAGGGTGGGTAACACCAAGCTCACACAGGCACAGGTGATGTAGTCAGGATTCCAGGCCTTTAGTGCTGGAAGCACAGGCTCTCAGACTACGCTGACTTGTTTCAGTTTCTTAGAGTAAGAGGAGTATTTTTACAGTGCTTGTAGATTTGCCACTTAACAGGAAAGCATGTGGGAAGTGATGGATGGCCACAGCACTGTGGGATTTTGGGGAGAGAATTGTAGGTAAATCTATAGTGCACACCAGCACACCTTGAAGAACGTGATGTGTGACGTGCCTAAGAATTTATTATTCTCCCCACAGTTATGTTTAAAATAGTTTATTTTTTTTTAATAGCTTATATTTTTTCTCAATATTACAAGTCCATGATTCAAAGTAGATATCAAAGAATGTTAACCCATGCCTGGAAAAAAATGTGAACGCATACTGTGTGGTATAAATCTAGATGGCAGGATTGGTGCCTCTACCTAACATGATGAGACCTGTGAGGATCTCTCTCTCCAGTTTCTTCCATCATATTATTTCCTCATTAGTTGCATGCATAATAAAATTATTCATTCATTATTGACCATATCTTATTTTTCTTAGGCTCAAATTTGGAGTGCTCAATTTGGTCAACAGTGGTATATACTACTCTCAGTTGTTCTTTAAACCTAAATGTGAAGTGTTTAAAACCCATTTAAATGTAATTTTCCTCTTGGCCCTATTTTGAAAAGCCAGAGACTGAGAAAATGAGAGGGTGTGACTCTAGCTCCCTTCTCCTTTCTGTGTTGCACTCACTCATAAGTTTGCTGTGAGTTTGGTGACTTATTTGAAGTTCACTTTCCTCATCAAAGCAAACAGGTTGGCTTTAATTAAGATTCTTTCTGCTGTAAAATGTTATTCCATGTTGAAACCAAATTAGTGCTGTCCTAATTTGAACCTGTACTTCTGAAGCTTCTTAGATGCTGGGAACAATTAAAACCCCTATGTGTTTTTATTTAAACTAATGTAAAAAATTTTTAAAATATTAACAGCATTTCAGCACTTCATTTTATATGACAGCAATAGTCTAGTCATAGAACATAAACTAGAAAGGGAGATCAAAAATTTAAATATGCTTAAACCTTGTAAGAGTCCATCTCAGTAATGCTCTAGTAACTAATAAAATACATTGCTGTTCAGTGTATACTAACTGGGTGTGCAGAGTCAGTGCCAGAGTTTTTTGCCGTGGTCCATAAGAATACCGAAAAGTTGAAATGTGCTTTCTACACTCAGCTGCTATTGGTCCAGGAGTTGCTAACATTTGTAATCCCCACAAAAGTAGGGGTTCTTTAGTGAAGGGGTTCCACATTAGCTCATTAATTCTTTAAGTATTTAGTATGCTCTCAGAACTCTTCCCGGGAGCTGGGAATACGGTATGTCGTCTAAGTTACCTCTAGTCTGCTGTAATATATAAATGGAAGGTGCCAATTCTGTATGACAAATTGTGAAGCAAAAGTGTACTCAGAATGCTGAGGAAGACAGAGAAAGCCCTTCCTGAGGCTTCAGGGAATACTTTCAAAGGAATAATGACATAGTTATCAGTGTTTTAAACTTACCAAGGACAGACAGCACTAGGCTCTTTATATAAATCATTTCATCCCCATATCACTGAACATTCTTCACACGGGGGGGCTGAGGCTCCAGTGCCACAAAAGTGCTGGAGCTGCAGTTCAAACTCAGAGCCCTTCAGCTCCAAGACTCCTTTTTATCTTCTGCATATGCTGCTTTAAAGAGTGTCTGAGGGAGGGACTGCAGGGAAGCCAGTGGAGAATGAAAGAAGAGGTAGGCCCTTGGGAGTGTCATATTGGCCTTTGGCTTAGTATGTGAATGAAATTAGAAGTAATCCATCTAGGATTTTCCCATGTTTTAAGTATTTTGCTTTCCTGAATTTTCTAGAAAGGAAAATTCTAAAATTCAAGCGAATGCTTTCTTTCTGAAAAGTAGCACTTTGGATGGCTATGCATTCTCCAATTTAAAAAATTTTCTTTGGATACAGATTTGATTACTAGAAGTAGCTAAATTTATTATGCTTTGAATTTGTTTGCTAAGGAGACTTCTTTTCTTCCCTATTGCATAAACTGGTTCTAAACGCAAGTGCAAAAACAAAACCATCACAAGTGGTTGAAACAGTGGCAGTGACTTTGGGATAACTAGCTTCCCAGAGTGAATGTGCTGAGTGGCAACTGTAATTTGGACACATGTGGCCACTTCATGATGAAGTACTGGGTGTTAGTAGTGCTGTGGCTGGGTGGGGGGTACTTTTTTCAAGTCTGTCCTTTGCTCTGTATGGGTGATAGTGTTTTAGACATCGTTAACCAGTGAGCATACCCGTGACTATCACATCTGCTAGAGTCACACTGCTCTTTTCCCCATATCGAGCTTAAAGTGACCAGCTGGCCATTAAATCTGCTTACATCGGCTTCTTTTGCCACTGTTTCCAGTTCAGGTTCATCTGAAAGACAGAACAAGTTTAAAAGTGGTGTGTTAAGGTAACATGGGTAGAGTTGTAGAATGCTTATGAGGAAAAATATAAAACTCACGAGCACTTATCTTCATGATTAGATTTCCTGGATTTGCAAAACCTGGAATGGAACAGTATTTGTTGGCCAAGCAACTAGCAAAACCCAAAGAAAAAATTCCCATTATTGTAAGTTTGTTCATTTTTATTTGCTTGCTTTGTTTCTAATTAGGGCCTTCGTAATACCATAAAGCTAAGAGGGTTATTAATCTTTTGGAAAGTATTTTTAAACTTACTTATTGTCCCAAATAACTGATAATATGTTAGCATTTTAGAAGATGTACCAAAGATAAATAGCATAAATTAATGCCTATTTTTGTCCAGATATTCTTTGTGTTTGTATTTCAAACTATTAATTGTGAACCAATAATGCTCATAATATATATATTTCTAAATACTTTTCTTTTCTAAAGCATCTTGAAGCATATTTTGCATGCTGTTTTTCTACCATCTCTGTATATTTGGCTAATAAGTCTAGTTGAAATATTTAGGCTTCTACCCCAGAAAAATACAAGCATATTATCAGAATAAGGAACCTTTTCCAATATGCTGGAATAGTGTATCTTCCAGTAAACCAGCTGTTAGCTCAAGATAAGGAAGAAGTAAATAAAAGCTGGAAATTAATGACACCATTAAGAACTTAATCTTAGAGTAATGATTATTATATAACATGACACAGGGTCTTCAGAATCATCCTACATTTTGATTGCTGATAGAATTTCTATCTAGGCACTGCTGTCTACCTCTGTATCTCAATGAAATTCTGAAATAGAGAACTAGTATTTTTGACTCTGTCAAACTGTAATTATAGGGGAGCCTTAAGAGTAATTGCCGTGGATGCAAACAAGAATGAGGAAACCCTACTCTTACTTTATAATCTTTGGGTCCCAGGAAACTTGAAGAAATTGGAGGGGTGCTATTGGACTTCTTTAATTACTTGTTTCTACATCTTTGCAAAGCTCAAAATCCCAGAAACCTCTAGATAGAAGAGGGCCCCTTTTATCCTTTTTTCCTCACTGCAAATTTGAAGTAATTATCTTCTGAGTAATTAGATTAAAAATTCTTTTAATTTTTTCTGTCTCTGCCAGGCTGTCAAAAAATTATCATTATTCTTTTCATTAAATTTAAAACTCTGCAGATTAAGCGCTATGTCCCTGCCACTCATGTTCTCAAATGTGAACTTTGTCACAGGTGTGACAGTGGTGGAACAGAGTGAAGGGTCCAGCCCCATGCCTTGTCCTATGAGTTTTAGGCAGAGCTGGTTCTTATGAATCTACCTGCATGGGCCTCTTGGATGGAAAAGGAAGCTGAGAAAACCATTAAGTCTTTAGTAGACAAGAGAAAGCAGAGGCCTGGTTCTGTGCTACCCATTATTAAAATAGGACCCCACGAGTATGGGGGTCATACTCACCAGCCAGAGTTGCCCCTTGGTGTCCCAGTCACTGAGGGACATTCTCCAAGGTGGCCATCAGTTGCTGCTCTGAAGTTTTGGAAGAACTTTCTGGGTTTGGATCCCTCTGGGAGTGACATAATTGTTCTCAGAGGTCTTCTCTTTCATCCCTATTAAACTGTGTGGTCCTCTGTCACCCTCCTGACATAATGACCTCTGAACTTTCATCCTCCATCCTATGTTTTCCCTCTTCCACCTTGAGAGAGAATGAGAAGTGGGTATCCTTCTTTTCTGCTTGCCTTGCCTAGAAGGCAGCCTGCACAAATCTCTCTTTTTTCACTCCACTCTGCATGATCGTCCTTATTTTCTTTTTACTTTCTTACTGTACTTTTACTAACTTCAAGTTTAAGACCTGTTGCATAACTCTTTTCTTCTCTCCTTGAATCTCTGAATAGATCTCTTTCCTAGAAATAGTATTACAGACCACATGTTGGTTTTTTCACCGTACTCCTGCATTGTATAATTCAGTTTTTTCTATTCCAATGCAAGAAAGTAATAGTCTCAAGATAAGAATTCCTGTTACCTTTTTAAATGTTATTTTTATAAGATCCTCAACCCTGGATCCCTGAAATCTATAACCATTTCTATAATGGTAATTTTGAAATGGATGATCCAGAACCTACTTGAGACTGTTGGGGATGCAAGCTATGATCCCAGGAATTTTTGTGTAAGCCCCAGGATCCAAGGCCCTCTATAGCCACCTTCATGACCTTTGATGCAGTTTTAAAAATAGATGGAAATACCCAGATTTAAGACAGAAGACCCATTGTCACTTAGCAGTGCTTGGCAGAAATGATCCACAGCTCAAGAGTTACATGCAAGTTTTCTGTACTCCATATAGAGCTTAGCTGGTTTCCCTTCCTCACATCACTCCAGGCAAACCCTCAGTGCTCAGTGCAAGCCTGGTAAGCCTCACCCAGATTTCTAAATTTTTGCCCCCAGTCACAGATGAAAAAGGACAATAGGAAAAGAATAGGGCCTGCATTTCTTATGTAAGCTCTGCCTGGTGGGCATGATACCCAGCTGAGGAAGTGAGCTGGCCCACTGTGCTTCTGTAGCCTGGGTCTTGCACCTTTTTTTTTTTTTTTTTTTTGAGACAGGTCCTCATTGTGTAGTCCAGGCTGACTTCCAACTCATAATCCTCCCTCCTGACCCTCCCAAGTGCTAAAATTATAAGTGTTTGTTGCCACTTCTGACTCTGTATTTCCCAGTTTCAAAATTAACTTTTCCGGGAACCTTGTAGGTTGGAGATTATGGCCCCATGTGGGTTTATCCTACCTCTACGTTTGACTGTGTGGTAGCGGATCCTAAGAAAGGCTCCAAGATGTATGGTCTGAAGAGCTACATTGAATATCAGTTGACACCCACTGTGAGTACCATGATACCAAAAACACAAGCATGCTTACAAAAAAAAAAAAACCTCACTTCTACTTGCTTTTCTCTTCATTTGCTATAGTTGGCATTGGTAACTTTTCATCTCTTTCCCTTATTTTGTAGAACACTAATCGATCCGTAAACCACAGGTATAAGCACTTTGACTGGTTGTATGAGCGTCTCCTGGTTAAGTTTGGGTCAGCTATTCCAATCCCTTCTCTTCCAGACAAGCAAGTGACAGGTGAGTGTGTGTGTAATGCTGAACACAGGATAAGTAAAAAGATGCAGACAGATTGTCCTTCTGTAAAGCAGTAGTGACATTGTCGTCCTTGAGAGCAACAAGATGCATGGGCATGGAATAGTCATTCATAACAGCTGTAAAGGGAGAGCCAGAGAAGAGTGTATACATACATGATGTCACATGAACTCCTAATAGGGATGTTTGATAAAATTTGCTTTCAGAGCTCTTGTACATGTGCTTTGAATACCTGTGGAGTCATTGCCTTTATTTTCTCCTGCAAAAGAAATATGTGCACTTTAAAAATGTGACAAATGGAGCCTGAGAAAGTAGAAATGATTGGAACAGCCTAAAATGAAAATAAAAATGTGTGACCCAAGTGATGGAGATAGGTTATGCAGAGCCATTGCCACGGAACTTCTAATTATTAAAGAATGAAAGTGCCAAGTTTTCTGCTGGATTATGCCATTGATTATGATCCTCTCCCTTATTTATTTATTTTAAAATGTCACTTCCTCTATCTCTCCCCTCCTCCCAAAATCTGGTAAGTAATCCATGTGGTACCATTCCGTGATACATATGCAGTCAGAAAGGATTTGCTCCTGTCCTGGGAAACTGTTATTATTCTGTGCTCTTCCTCTCCAGCCAGGTGTAGAAGTACTCACAGACTCAGCACTTACATAAAGGGACTGAGTTTTACAAAAATTAGAAGAGGTTTCAATAGATGGCTAGCAAGTGTTCAGATAAATGAAACTTGTAAGTATAGAAAGGAGTAAGTAGATGGAGGGCGAGAGTAAGGTTTAAATGGCCAGAACCAGCGGGGCCTGGGAGAGAGGCAAAGGGGACAGTGAGGGAGAAGGAAAGACTTTTCCCAGAGGTCAGGGGAGACCAGAAGCTTTGATCCTCACTCAGCAGGAGTTTAGGTAAGTTTGGATAAGTAGCTCAGGAAGGGCCTTCACCAGCCACATGGCAGTACCAGATCGAGACGCTTCAGTGCTGCCATGTATTTTGTCTCCATGGGTTAGGGTCACACAGGCCTGGACACTTCCCAACTGCTTTCTCCTGTGCCCTCAGAGGTAGGCATTTTCATCTTCACCCTGCCAATGGGAAATGGATATCCAGAAACATTAATCACTTTCCCTGTATTTTGCTAAAGAGGGAATTTGTGTTAAATCCTGAGGTTCGGTCTGTGTATGTTATGGTGAGAACCAACTAATCTTTAGCTACAGTTATTGTCCTTCAAATAAATAACTCATTCTCCTCAAAACCTTGTATATACTTTGCTTTATGTTTACTTTTCTCTGAAGTTTTGGGGGTAGATGGAAATTTTAGTCTTTAAATTTCTGATTTTGATGTTTTGGGAAAACTTCAAAAATTTCAAGTTGTCATAGCAGAGTGGAGAGCAGGAGCTGTTGTGCTGGGTTGATGAACACATCCTAGCAGCCCTGTGGGTGACATGGAGTAGTCCCTCATGGAGCTGGGGCCAGCGAGTGGTATAGATGGCAGCTGTATTCCATCCAGAGGGGCTCACCATACCCCTAACACTCTTTCCTATAATCCTTATTGCCTTAAGTGGTAACTTTCTTTAAAAATCTTTAGATTTCTTCCCCTGAAGTCTTCAGCTCTGCCTTCCTTCATATTTTTAGGTGTCAATTTGTGTCCTTGAATTACTTTCCTTACCCACTCAGTACAGCATTGTGCTTCAGTGTTTAAATAAATGGGTTAACAAGCTATTTCAAGGTTTTAATACATTGCTTATTCTGGATCAAATAATTCAGTACTATTTTTAAAGCATCTTAAGAGTCATGATTCTCCATATTACGGTTTGTTAAAAAAAAAAAAACAAAAACAAAAAAACACAGGCGTGCAGCCAGAAGGGTGGTACAGGAAAGCAAGAAGCAGCAGCTCTCAGTCTGAAGAAAGTTGAGCTTTGACGTGCTCGCTCACTGGGATGGATGCATGCCGAGGAAACTGAGAGGCACAGAGTAACATTATTTCCCTTCTCTTGTTTGCCTCCTGCCTGTGTTACCCACAAGATCACTGCTGAACACAAACTCCCCTCTCACTGAACTCGTGGACAAAATAAAAGGAAGCCCAGTAAATGATGCCATGACTGTTTCTGGGGACTTCATGATCCACGGAGTCTATAGTCAGCATTTTCTGTTTGTTTGTTTTGTTCTTTGTGAAGTAATACTGAATGGATTGGGTTTTATTCCTGGGTACCAAAATAGTTTATTCACACACTTAGTGAAAATATAAGTAAGATTTATTAAAATGAGGAAAAGAAAGTCCCTCTTTTCCCTTTTTCATAAATCTCTGGAACCTGGTGTGTAAATCTTACAAGTATAAACTAGTAGCTGAAGTCCTAGTTTGCAGACAAACCAGCTATGTCAGAAGAATTTTTCAATAAAAAAATCATTAAATTTCAACCACTGGTTAGGTAACAAACTCTTGTCTTAAATCACTCCTGATAGAAACTGAGTCCCTCCCAGGGCCATGGGAACGGTCAGGGTCTCTTCTGTCCAGGAGGGTCATTGTCTTTCCAAAGGATGAGAGAGCAGAGTACTTGCTTTCTGCTGCAACTAAGCATACCATTTGGGAGTGCTTTTTATAAACCAGGGGTGTCTAGACCCATGGTGCTCATGTGCACTGTTTAGATAACACATTTTTATATATGGGCCCATAGTACTCATATTTTAAAGAAAAGTTCAGGATGCATTTTTGTAAAAATTTATTTTTAAACTATGCACAATTAAATTAATTCTCTTTGACATATAGTCCTATGAATTTTGACAGCTACCACTATGGTCTTGTAACCATCACTGCATTTGTGACACAGGACAGTTCTGTCACCTCCAAAACTCCCTAGTGCTATCCCTTTATTTTAACCCCTTCCCCTCGTCCTACCCAAGTCAACAACTGATCTGTTTTTTGTTCCTATAATTTCATCTTTTCTAGATTGTCATTATAAATGGGAGCATAATGTAGTTGACATGGCCTGTCTTGTCTCAATAGTTTGTTTTTTTTGCTGAGTGGTATTCCAGTGTTTGGATGTACCATAATTTTTTAGCCATTTGCTCACTGAAGGACACTGGGATTCCAGTTTTTGGCAATTATAAATGAAGCTACTAATAACACTGGCACACAGATTTTTGTATGATCACAAGTAAGTTTTCATTTGGGTAAATACCTAGGGGTAGAATGGCTGGGTCATTTGGTATGTATATGTTTAGTATTTTATGAAATTGTCAGACTGTTTTCAAAGTAGCTGTGCTGTTTTGGAATCTTCACCAGCAACATATGAGAATGTTTGTGGTTCCACATCCTTACCTGCACTTGATAGGGTCATTTTTCTTTAACTTTGTTTAACCACTCTAATATGAGTGTGGTGGTATCTCATCCTGGCTTTAATTTACATTACTCACTGACTAATGGCATTGATCATCTTTCCATGTGCTTACTCTCCTTTTTAAAAACAATTTTTATTAGGATATATTTGTTGTACAGGGTGGATTCATTGTAACAGTTCCAAATAGGCTTATATTGTATATTGGTTAGATCATCCCCATCGTGTCTCCCCTCAACCCCTCCCTGCTCTACTTAAAGCGATTGCAAGAGGTTTCTTCTATTTCATATAAGTACATGAAGTCCATCAACCATATACCCTCACCTTAATCTCCTTCATTCACCCTCCCCCCTCCCACAAGTCCCCCTCACACACACAGTACACCTATTTTATAGTCCAGTCTTCCATTATTAATATCTAAGTCGATGTTCAAAGGGATTTCTCAGTTTATCCCTGCTGTGAGTCCACTTTACGTTGGTCTGTTCAACCCCTTACTCTCCCTTATCCTTTCCTTCTCACCCCCCATTTTTCTTTTTTTTTTTTTGTTTTATTATTCATATGTGCATACAACACTTAGGTCATTTCTCCCCCCTGCCCCCACCCCCTCCCTTACCACCCACTCCGCCCCCTCCCTCTCCCTCCCACCCTCTCAATACCCAGCAGAAACTATTCTGCCCTTATCTCTAATTTTGTTGTACAGAGAGTATAAGCAATAATAGGAAGGAACAAGGGTTTTGCTAGTTGAGATAAGGATAGCTATACAGGGAGTTGACTCACATTCATTTCCTGTGCGTGTGTGTTACCTTCTAGGTTAATTCTTCTTGAACTAACCTTTTCTCTAGTTCCTGGTCCCCTTTTCCTGTTGGCCTCAGTTGCTTTTAAGGTATCTGCTTTAGTTTCTCTGCGTTAAGGGCAACAAATGCTAGCTAATTTTTTAGGTGTCTTTACCTATCCTCACCCCTTCCTTGTGTGCTCTCTCTTTTATCATGTGCTCAAAGTCCAATCCCCTTGTTGTGTTTGCCCTTGATCTAATGTCCACATATGAAGGAGAACATACGATTTTTGGTTCTTTGGGCAAGGCTAACCTCACTCTGAATGATGTTCTCCAATTCCATCCATTTAGCAGTGAATGATAACATTTCGTTCCTCTTCATGGCTGCATAAACTCCATTGTGTATAGATACCACATTTTCTTAATCCATTCGTCAGTGGTGGGGCATCTTAGCTATTTCCATATCTTGGCTATTGTGAATAGTGTCGCAGTAAACATGGGTGTTCAGGTGCCTCTGGAGTAACCTGTGTCACAGTCTTTTGGGTATATCCCCAAGAGTGGTATTGCTGGATCAAATGGTAGATTGATGTCTAGCTTTTTAAGTAGCCTCCAAATTTTTTTCCAGAGTGGTTGTACTAGTTTACATTCCCACCAACAGTGTAAGAGGGTTTCTTTTTCCCCACATCCTTGCCAACACCTGTTGGTGGTGGTGTTGCTAATGATGGCTATTCTAACAGGGGTGAGATAGAATCTTAGTGTGGTTTTAATTTGCATTTCCTCTATTGCTAGAGATGATGAGCGTTTTTTCATGTGTTTTTTTGGCCATTTGAATTTCTTCTTTTGAGAAAGTTCTGTTTAGTTCACTTGCCCATTTCTTTATTGGTT